CTAAGCTGCAGTTCGGCGGTTCAAATCTCGGCGGCTCAAAGGTTCACTCAGCCTTCCACCCTTCCAAGGTGGGTAAAATGAGGACCCAGACTGTGGGGGCAATATGCTGACTCTGTAAACCGCTTAGAGAGGGCTGAAAGCCCTATGAAGCAGTATATAAGTCTAACTGCTATTGCTATTGCTATTCAGTCAGTCACTGAACAAATGGGTTGTAAGTCAAGAACTATCCATGCTTAGTTAAGCAATTTTCTCCTAACCACTGCGGATACCTTTTTCATTACAATCAATAATCCATAATCATTAACATACAAAACAATTGTGTATCCTTTTATTATGACCAATGAGCCATAATCAGAAATAAAACAGTTAAATACAGGTAGTCCTCGACCATAATGGAGCCCCAATTTTCTGCTGTTAAGTGAGACATTTGTTAAGTGTTCTGCTGCAGCAAAACTTCTAGAGAAAGAAGAATTGAAGGCAGAAATGCTGCTGATACCACAGAGATAAATTGCAGTGACTTACCCTGATATATTCTATCAGTGTATTATAGACATAAGCGCCTTTCGGAAGGAAGAAACAGCTGCCAGGACTGAGTTCATGGAAGAAAAAGAGTTCTTGATCCTTTGGGATAAATAAATAAAAAATAATAAGTTTTCCTATTTATTTCCATATTTTCACTGTTGTTGGAGAATATTCAGATAAACAATTCCTTTCTAAGATCATTTTTATTGCTTAGTTGATAATCAAAGACTCTGGGTGTCCCACAAACTGCTAAAACCAAGTGCATCACAAATAATAAAATGTAATTAAGAAACAAGTCCAACCACTAAAATCCCTTAAGCCATAAAGCTGGCAGCATCCCCAACACTAACATGCTACGCCCTAAAACCAAGTCTTGCAACCTGGCTGGAAGGGATATAGAGAATCTGCTTCATGCATGATTTCCTAAAAATCAAACTGTCTCCCTTTCTCCACAAGCTTTCCCCAAAAAGGAACGCTTGGAGACCAGGCAGAAGTTACTCAACAACGCAGCTAGGTTGAGAGATGACTTCTTCAAATGGAGGTGGCTTCCTTCAAAGCTGCAGTCACAGGCTCCTTCCAATCTCACTTTTGACCTTCCTCTCTGGTTGTCTGAAGCAAAGGAACAAAGATCCGTCCCATATTACTAAAACACTCCGTCTTAAGCTTAAAAGAAGCTCAGATGGCTTTGCAAGATGTCACATTAAGGGAGCCTGATACCCAGATTTTCAAATACACATGGCTTTCCATGTTGGCTTTTTTGGCAGCTGCTGCACACGGCTGGCTCATATTTGAATGGTTGTCCACTAGGACTCCAAGATCCCTTTCAC